TTCTCTTCTACTCTTCTCTCTTCTAATCTTTCTCTTCTCTCTGCCTCTGCCCTACTCTGCTTTTCATCTGTCCATATTGTCGGAAGTTTGACTTCTAAACTTCCTTCGATCATAATGAAGTGGATAAGTGGGGCTATGAACCAACTTATAACTGAGGGGCCTTCCTGTAACCAACAACACGTTATTGTGGAAAATTATTGTGGTTGATCGATCATTTTCCTTATTAACATGGCCATAAACTGTATACTAACCATTTTCAGACAAATCCATTGTTGGTAGTTGGCGCCCCGGTAGACCAACATAGACACGGGAAACGCTATGTTCATTTGCTATCATTTGCTCTTCTTCTTAGCGTATCTATGTTCATTTGCTGGTTGTTAATACGCAGAAGAAGGTTATGTTGCATAGGGACACAAAGAGATAAAACATTGTCACACACCTGCAAATCCCTGGAAAATGACATCATGGAAACCACTAAAATATGGTCTCGGAAGATTATTCTCTTGGAAATGGCTGTTTGCAGGATTCAATGTTAGGATCTTGCGGTATATTATCCTCTTTGGAATGAGTTGCCGGGTTAGCCACTGTGGTTGCAAACGGTAGCCGCAGTGACTGGCTCACTGGCTGTAAACACTCTGATTTCAGCCATTGGGTAGTACTCTGGAAGTTCCCCACTTGTCAGTAACCCTTCATATCGAAGTCTTGGTTTCTCTTCAGGATCTGGTGAAACAGGCAGCTGAAGAGAAGCTTCCTGCATCGACTTTGCAGTGGTTCAATCAGTCAATGCTGCCAAAATAAACGATTCCCAAACCAAGGGCCAGAGTGTTGCTAATCGTATTGCTGTAGTTATTATATATAATATACACATTTAGTGCGCAATTATGTATATAATATATGTTTATATGTATGTATGTATGTATGTAATGTATGTATGTATGTATGTATGTATGTATGTATGTGTGTATGTATGTATGTATGTATGTATATGCACGATATGTGTGTGTGCGTGTGTGCAAAAAATATATTCACACCATATGATATTATATATGCATGGTATATGTATATGAATAAATAAATGAATGAATATATATATATATGTACACGATATCTATATGTATATGTATATATAGGTTTATGCTTTTATATATTGCCAGGATCTTTCAAAAGATGAACCACCCTTGTCAATTCGCCACTGGTGCCCCTGGTGCGCCGCACCAGGATGGTTTGGATTTGCGGAGCGCTTGTCGTGACGCGCCGAAGGCCGACCTGGGACCGGCCGGCCTGGGAGCGGCCATTGAATATACATACAAAAATAGTACAGTACTCTAATTATCATATATTAATTATACATATATATATATATACATATAGAATGTATATACAACACACATACATATATATATATATTTATCTATATATCAATATATATATATGTATAGCTATATTTCTATAATTTAATACATAGTTCTACCTATACATATATATATAGTTATATTCAGATGCGCATCAATTAACACTATTGAAACGCGCTGTAAATGAAACAAACAAATCCCTCTGCAACACCTGCCTCCACTACCCTTTCTTGATCCTGTGACCTGGAAGCGGATCATTTGGGAATGAAACCAAGGTTTTTCCCTATGAAAAGTTGGGGGTGTCATTTTTCCCCGTGCTTTACTCCACATTTTTCGCAAAGCCGTGCTTTTTAGGACATGAAATTGGAGGCCGCGCAGAAGAGGCCGAGTTGAGGGACTGCTTGGAATGACCCAGTTTTTGAGGCTATGGGGATGGAGAATCATCCATGTAGTGAAGGTACAGCAGGTGGAATTTCCATCGTAGATGGGTGTGTCTTATTTCAGACTTCTGTTGTGTCAAGTTTTGACTTATTGGAACTTATGTTAGGAACTATGTTGACATGCACGTTGGAAATTCTGTTTTGACAAAACCTGGGGGTTCCCCAGCCTGGGACTGTTACTCAAATGCACCATCAGATCGGGGGACTTGGGAACTTGAGGGGTTTCAATTTTGTGACATGACATAATAGTAATTAGCCATTAGCCAAAAGAAAAAACATTAATTTTAGTGTCAATTTTATTTTCACTGATTTCATTGCAATGCAAACTGTGCAAAAAGTGGTGAGTTGTTTGTCGAAAAGGATGACTTTCCAAAACTGGCATTCATCCTGAGAGTCCACAATTTGCAGGTTTTTGGGTTTCAAACATTCAATTTTTTGCAATCCCCTTGGTAATGAACTGAGAATACTGTTGGGGATGATTGGATCAACACCAATCCAGACTCGGAAAAAAATGCAGGAAACTCCTGCATGAGGGGTGAACAAATGGTTTTAATTACTATGGTGTTGTGTGCGGATTTTCACGGATTTTCCATCAAATCAAACCATTGCCGATATCATATCATATACCCATTATATCATATTATATACCCATATACCATTACCATATGCCATGATATCCCCATTATTACCCCATTCTTACAGCCCTAATGTTGTTGGTTAAGCCCCCGTGATATCCCCAGCAGAAAGCCATGTCGGTCCAAGCAGAGCCAGGTCGGTGGAACTGCTGTTTACCACTTGGCAGCCTCAGGAGCAAAGTGACATATATATATACATATAAATGAACAATATAGATAGAGAGATAACTATGTATATATAGATAATTGTATATAGAGATAATTATATACATATATATGTATAACTTTATATATAAAGTTACATATATATCTGTATGAATAATTAAAAAATATGTATATATATATACCGCACAATATTTCCTGAAAATCCAAAGTCTGAAATTTCAATCCTGAACCCAGGCCGGCTTGTGTTCTGCCCGAATCTCGCCGGAAACTCGCCTGATCTCCAGAAACTCACCGGAAACCGGTTTGAACATGGTGTTCATAGAATTGGATTATGGGAAAGTTTACAGGAAAGCCCTATATTTGATGGTAAAAACCATGGTTTCCTGTAGATTTTCCCTTAAACCAATCCAGTGAGGTGTTCGAAATTCACGCCCATTTTGTTCAAGAAACTCCGCCAAAGCTGCAATTTGGGAAACTCCGCCCGAATAGTGGATGTCTTATTGCCCGAGTTGTTTCGTACACATGGTCTTGAACATCTTTGAACAAAAAGCAACAAACTTTGAGCCAGATCGCTCCGAGGTGTATTTTTTTTGCCCTCGGGCTTTGAAAGGAGACTTTCCCCCCAAAGTCTGAAATTTTAGCCCGCAAGCATTTCCCAGGACTTTGCAAGCATGTGTGCGCTTTGTTGATGCGATCATTCTCAACCATCAATAAAGGAAGATGAATCCTCTTAATGCGTCCACAGAACTACGTATACACACATACATGTTCATACATGTTCATTAATTATATAATTAGATATAATATATATATATATATATTATACATCTCGCCCATGGATACGCATTGATATCCATAAAGGATAACATGCCAGCGTCAGGAGCTTCCCCGGGACGACTATGTGTACCAGGAGGAGGTAGAAAAACCCATGAGGCGCCAAGGATATTTGAGGTGAAGTTGACGCGGGGGCTACTGGAATCCCATTTGCCCTCTGACAAACTAACATAGCCATGGAAAATCACCATTTCGCTGGGTAAATCAACTGCAAACGGGCTATTTTTTCTCCGCTATCTTAAATTACCTAGAAACTTTGTTGAAACATGCTGAAGATTCCCTTGAATAAAGTTTAACGGGGGTGGGGATTTCATGATTCCCTAGAAACTCTGTTGAAAGATGTTGAGGATTCCCTTGAATATAAAGTTTGCAGCAACACGCCTTTCAATATCCTGTGAAAAGTGATGTGGGCGAGCTGGGGGGTTTTGCGCATAAATTTAGAGTACTGGGATTATGCAAAAAATGAACATCAACAGTTTGCTATGGAAAATCAGCATTCCCCGGAGGGGGGAGCCATCCCGAGCATTTTTTGAAAGGGACCAGCAGTTCAGTGACTACCCAGCACCATGTGATGGAATCCGATCGATCCAGCTGTCAATTTTCCCGCTCCATCAAGAATCCAATCATATCATCATGATATCCCTGTGATATCCTGTGATAGTTACATGGGTTCTGAAAAAAATGGCACCCCAAAATCCCATGGTTAGTTATTCTGGTTCCCATTAAAAGAGCCAGTTGAGGGCATCCATTGAGACCATAGGCAGAGGTTGGCAAGAAAGCCACGGGGAACGGGCTGGCAGCGTGTTGGAGACAAGGTGCCCGGTGGCCAGGGATGAGGCGTTTCCGATGTCCGACATCAGTTTAATGCATACTTATACGTACGTATAATATCGTGCGCAGACACACATGTCACACACACACACATATGTGTGTATATATATATGTATTACGCGTATCTCTCTCTCTATATATATATAATTATATATGTGCATACATATATATATATATAGAAAACTATATAGAATAATATCGTCATTTATAGATATACTGGCGATGGAGAGAGAGGGGCATGCCTTGGCCACCAGTGAGGTGCTGCAAGCGCCATGCAGCTGGGCCCAACATGAATCCCATTTGAAGCCCCAAGCCCCAAGATATTGCACACACAGACATACATAAGATAGATTCATAGATAGATAGATAGATAGATAGATAGATTCATAGATAGATAGATAGATAGATAGATAGATAAATAGATAGATAGATAGATAGATAGATAGAATTATATTATATATTATATATATTACAACATAGAGCAGACATAGATTCATATAACATGCCCTACCTAACTCTCTCTCTCTCTCTATATATATACACATACATATATATATATATATGTATACATACATATGCGTATGTATAACACGAATATGACGCGATATGATCTGATGTATACAATATTCATATTCATGTACATGTACAATCATATACATTGAATTTTAAGATGCATAAAGTTCAATTTTCCAGGTCCCGTTAGTTGGCCCATCCCCAGATTCATCCGCAGACTCTCTTGACTCATGGCGCTACGCGGCCGCCTACGCGGCCGCCTCCACGGCCACCTTCGGAGCCTGCGGGTCGCAGCGTGGCAGCGATCGTTGGATGCGCTCAGCCATGGGAAGGAGATCCATCATGGCATGGCATGGCTGTCATCTATAAATGGGATATAAATGGGATTTAATGGCCAATTAATGGGATTTTATAGTGATTCAATGGGATATTAATGGGATATACCCTCTGGTTATGACTAACAGTTCGCCATGGAAAATGATGGCCCTAATCGAAATAGATGGTTTAGCGTTTTTAAAAATGGTGGATCTTTCCGTGGCTATGTTAAATAACCAGATGGTAAATAGTAAAAACATGTAAACACATGTAAAAAATCATCATCTTCTGCGGTGGCTTCGGTCAAGATTCATAGGACATCGACGTATTACAGTAATCGAACCTGGCACTGTGCACCACCATTTTTTTAAAAGGAATGTGATCTGCGAATGTGGATTCCCCTGCCCCTTTGCTATTTTGTCTTACTAGAGTCTGGAAGCCGAAAACCAAACCCATCTCTAAGTTCGGTCTCTTTCCAATGGGTTTGCTGCGCATTCCCATGCCGTGGCTGGTGGCTCGTCTACATTTTGTTCTTGTTGTTTCCCATGCTCCGCATCCCATGCTTTTTTGGGTTCGCTGAACCCATCAGCGCGAAGCGTTTCAGGACTTGGTCGAGCACACGCGCGCCCTGCAATCCATGGGCAAAGCCAAGCGATGGGACTTGAGCCTGGCTTTACTGCAACACCTCCAGGACGACTTGGTGCAGGCGGGAAAACCCATGGGAACAGCATGAGAACGGGGGAGTTTAAAGGAACCGGGTTGAGTTTCTGAGAGGTAGAAGCTACAGTCTCCCATCTAAAGTATTCTAAAGTCACCTGTTTGAAGATGATATTTCTTCCCTGTTTGTGCACATCTCGGTTTGTCTCAACATATTGTGGTATCGCATTCCATCCCATAGTTCGTTGTCAGTTTTTCCAATCAGTCGTAGAAATAACGTGGGAGCCCGTTTTGAGACGGACCCAAACAATAGCCTTTCGGTTTCCTCCAAAATTGCCAACCCAGTTTATCCTCATCATTTCCCAAATTATTCAATGGCCAATTGGGATCAATTGGGGTACATGAACCCCTCATATATCTCTTGAGGTCATTCCTCAAGAACCGCCAATCTGCCGGCTGAATCCCTATGATTTCATGGCACCCGCTTTGTGGGGTACCAAGAAAAAGCCTTATCTATCCATAAAGATCCATAAAGATCCATAACCTATCTATATTCTATAAAGATCTATAAAGCCTCATAGCTACCATCGACTTTTTTTTGTTTATGTAGCTTAGTAATTATTAATGGTAAACCACATACATCGGCTATGGCTCCTCATCTGCTGGCAGCCAGGAGTCCCAAAAAATTGGATGGAACACATCTCAACAAAAGCAATCCATTGGTTCTTTAGCCATCCGTCATTCACAATTTTTGATTCAAACCCACATTTTGTTGAACTGTTGAGCTTAAAATCCGAAGGTGGATGGAGTTTTCTGCACCAGCCTCATCAACAGCTGTCGCCGCGGCACCGCCTGGACTGTTGCGTTGCAGCTGTTGGCGCAGCTGGAGGCAACTTCGCTGGGTCTCTCGGCCAGACAAGACATCAAACTTGACCTATGACATCTTATAACTTATCACTATACCGACTATACCGACTATAATTACCTTAGAATTACCAAACACAACAAGACATGGAATATGCCCATGTCCTGATTTTTAGTGTCTTTCTGTGGCTCAATGTATGCTCATGTTCCCTTGAAACCATGGCTATATAGCCCCTGGAGGTGTCCGCGTTTCGGTGCACCACTACGGCGCGGTCGCCAGCACCTTGGAAACAGCCCGCAGGTGGCAGGAGGCACTGCAACTGATCGGCAGCTGCAGAGACCCCAACCAGGCTCCGGGGGGCTTGGTGTGGCTTGGGGGTACCCTCTGGTAAACATACAAAAAACTATGGAAAATCACCATTTTTAGTGGGAAAACTCACTATTTCTATGGCCATTTTCAATAGCTATTTTGACATAACCAGAGGGTAGGTTTTTTTTTCAAAGTTCTTGGGTGGGAAGATGTCGGAAGTATTATAAGTGATATGAGTAACCGACAAAAAGTAGCGGGAGGTAAGAGTAGTAGGGAGTGGACTTGGGATGTTCAATTTCGTGTGAACACCTTCACAAGCGATACGGGACCAACCACTTACCGATAGAGCATTTTTAGACATACTCGTAGCATGGAAGTGTAAACCTTCGGGCCACCCACATTGGCCATGTCCTTTGCGACTAAGTAATTCTGTCCGCCACTCATATGATCTGTTATATGTGATAGTTGATAGCTAAAGCCAGTTGCGGATCACGGTGATCAACTCTTTCTGGGCCAATTGTAAACGACTGGAAATCGATGGATATGACGGAAAATTTCAGCCGCATCACATCCATAGTAAGCGATAGTAAATGGTGGATGAAGTAACACAAACTGGCGATATTTATATAAAGAGTAGAGGAGGTAGAGGTGCTGGGTAAACCCTAAAAGCGATAAATTTTCATCGCGATGGTAGTTATCACTCAAAGATTTGGATAGTGTGGATGAAGCTGTTGGGTTCCCAAAGGTTTGGAGCCGATGTGAGCCGATCTGATCGCAGGAATTTCTGGGTGCCATCATCAGCGCGTGTGAGAAATCTTCCCGCTGGGAGGCATGCATGTACTTGTTGAATTCCATGGCAGCTCAACACGGCGTGACACCTGACGCTCTCCTTGGACCTACGCCCATGAAAACTAACATGGAACCCAAGAAGAGCTTTTCACTTGGTTTGTGGCCACCTGAAATTCATAGCGTTTCCTCATGTTTTCTCCATTAGGAAGATGATCCTCCAGAGCCAATTGCGGGTAGAACGCTTTGGAGGTTTGTCATGTTTCAGAGCTCGAATGTGTTCCAGAGCTCGAATTTGTTCCAAGCAGTCCCCAAGCAAGACAAAGCAAAGCAACGCAATGGATCCCTTTGGATCCCTTTGGTAATCAAACATGGCAATGGAAAATCCCAATTTTTTTTGTCAATTTGAATTCCTCTTTTTTTACCTCCATGTAGTTTGAGATTTTCAGTTGCCTGGGATTGCTGATACGACATTTCTTGGCTCGACATCCCGAATTATCTCATATTTTTGGTGTGACTCCCACATGTTTCCTATTATGATTTCATTCTATTTCACCACATCTACAGCACAAATTTCCGAGCCCAAATATCAAATCACGTGGTTTTAACATGGTTTTAACCTTACTCTCCCATCCATAATCCAACAAACATCTACAAGAATCAGGTTGTTTACCCAAATTTACCCAATCTTTTTGAGGAAATCCATGGGTATCATGGGTTTCCCCATGGTTTCCCCATGGTTTCCCCATGGTTTCCCCATGGTTTCCCCATGGTTTCCCCATGGTTTCCCCATGGTTTCCCCATGGTTTCCCATCCAAAAGGCACCGGTGCCCAGGACGTCATCGCCTTCAACGCGGCCATGGTGAGCTGCGGCCGCGGCCTGCGCTGGCGGGACGCCTTGGAGCTGACGCGGCAGCTGCGCTGCTCCCACCTGGCGCCCTCGGTGGTGACCTACAGCTCGGTGGCGCGGAAGAGCTACGGGAGATGCCAGGAAGGATGGGTTATATAAGTTATATAAGGGTTAATAGTGGTTTATATAAGGGTTAATAGTGGTTCATAGTGGTTATATAGTGGTTATATAGATGTTAATAGTGGTTATATAGTGGTTCATAGTGATTATATAGTGGTTATACAGTGGTTATACAGTGGTTATACAGTGGTTATACAGTGGTTATATGGTGGTTATATAGCCCAATATGGTTGATATGATGATGTTTATAACAATGGCAATATAATGGTTGATAATGGTTGATACCCTCATGACATAATATGCTATTAACCATCATGTTATATACAATGGCCATGACATTAATCATGATGATGGTTGATATAATGGTTGATAGTGGTTGATGGTGGGCACATAGTGGTGAATGATAGGAGTTTACCATTTATAGCAATTTATTGCCAGGAATGATCGGACTTACCCTCTGGTTAACAAAAAAACGATGGAACATCAGCATCTGCAAAACAGGTAAATCAACTATATATAAATGGCATGTTCAATAGCTATGTAGCAGTTTACCGGAGGATATATAACGGTCGTTATATTGTGAATAATAGTGGTTAATACTGTTGAATCTGATGGTTAATTGCTGAATGATGCATTTAATGAATGGGTCAATGATGACTTTGTCAATGTGGAATGAACATATACCAGCAACTACTAGCACATGACGTTCTAAGAGTATATTATAGATTATATATATAATATATATATATGTATATACATCTCGAGTATCTTCTAAATTTCCTCTAAAAATACACACACCTAAGAAATCCATGGTTTAGTGGGGGATGAAATCACATATTTGGTCCCATTTGGAACCTTGTAAGGAAATGAAGGAACATAAATGCGGCAAACGCAATGCCAGAAACCATCACACAAACCATGACTGGGGCTATTACAAGTCATCCCAGTAATAGACGGTATAGCCAATTTCAACACCTTTATTGAGGATGGTTTTTGGCATGAAGTTTACCACATTAGCCCCTTTGATTGGCTATGATATAAGGAGTTATACTACCTTGTTATTGGGAATGATGAGCGAATCCATACTGTAAGACTGTAGGGAAAGCTATCAACTAGTATTTCATGAGGAGTTGCCTTGAGAATCCAAGATGAGCCATGATTGCGTTCACGCCGAGTGCGCATTTGGTAGGAGAACGTAGGGAAAACACATGTTTTACTATAACATAGTTGTACGTATATAATACATATTCGTACTATAAAATACACACACATATATATATATATAATTATATGTATGCCATATTCTACTAAAATGATTGTGGTGAACCCAAGCAGTTGTTTTTTTTTCGTTTGGGTCCACACTTTGGTGAATTTTTCGGGGTGTTTGTCCTGGACATGACCAGCTTGCAGCTTGTGGAAGATGATCATCTACTGATAATGGTGGTTTAAGAGTGGTTTAAGAGTGGTTTAATAGTGGTTAATGACTATATAACTGGTCGGCGGTTTGGAACATTTTGCAACCATGGAATGGATTATGATTTTCCATCTATTTGGAATGTCATCATCCCAACTGTCGAACTCATATTTTTCAGAGGGGTAGGTATACCGCCAACCAGACTATATAACATTTGTTTTAGTTGTTGTTACCATGTTTTTGTTTTCCAATTAGGTGATGGGAGGATGGTATACTGTACCATTTTTACCACCATTTATAGCCATTTATTGCCAGGAATGATGGTACTTAGTCTCTGGTTGACAAAAAAACGATGGAACATCAGCGTCTGCAAAATAGGTACATCAACTATATATAAATGGCATGTTCAGTAGCTATGTAGCAGTTTACCGGAGGGTTTGATGCCCTCCCGGACATCACGAGGTAATGAGCGCCCTGGAAAGGTCTCGACAGTGGGAACTCACCATTTCTCTCTTTGAAGAGATGCAGAAGTGCCAGGTCCATGCGGATGCCATCACCTGGTGTCTGGGCGGTTGAACTGTGTTGAACCAGGCGTTTGTCTTAGATTTCAGGGACCAGTTTAGAGATGCGCATCGAGGAAAACGTGAGTTTTATGGCGTTTTTTTTGATGTTTTATGATGTGTTGGACATTTCAGCCACACCCATGAAGTGTTCATGCCCTTTCCCGTTCCCTGAAACTAACGTTCTGATTTTTGAGAATGTTCAGATGATCATGTTCGATGAAGAACTGAAGGGCAAAGTCACTGGAATGTGTGAGGTGTTGATACTCGTACAGTCCGTGTGCAAGAGCCAAAGGACGTTATCACACCCCCCCACCCCACCCCACCCCACCCCGCAACACGTGATGTGAGCAAACGGTTTGAGCTACAAGTGAGCGATTTTCCGAGCCGCACGTGAGACCTTTGCCAATTGATTACTCCCGGATTGGCATTGTTGCTTTGGATCGCAGCCAGGAATTCTTTGGTCAGTGCATGCGAAAGTGGAGAGCAGTGGGGCAGAGCCCTCTATTTCCTCTCCTGCGCTGAAATGGAGGTGAGCCGGATGAACGGATGAAATCAAACAAAATGAAGAACACGATGCATTTCGGCAGGATACACCCAAAAAATTAAACGACGGCAGCACTAGGGACGTAAAGAACAGAGGTTTTTGTGCCCGATATTGGCGGAACTGATTTGGTGCTTCAAGGCGGGGAAGTTTTCCCCAGACTGGATCAGTCTTGTTGAGCACGCCATCACAGGACATCATCATGTTCATGTCCCAAATGGCATGGAACCACTGGAATTTGTCAGTCGATGGCCGCACACCAAGGTGAGTTCCACCAACAACGGCTGGCGCCAAGGTTTGAAGCCTGGGTTCAACTCACTGATCAGTGCCTGTGCCCTTTGGCTTTGCAAAACGGAATGCGCCTCAAAGAATTTCTTGCCAACCTCCAAACACCAATACCAATACCAATGTCCACCAATTTTGCGGTAGTAACTTCACGGTACTTGCCACTGCCATTTTTGTTTTGGGCAGCGAATTTTGACCCGAAACCGCAACACGGAGATGATGTGATTGGGGCAATGACTGATCCAGACATATTTCAATAGACACATCTCAGGTTTACTTGGGTTCAAGCCTCTTATCAGTCCGTGAGGCTCTGGAACACAGATTTTGAGTACTGCCAATGGGGTATGGTGATGAGCCCTCACGTTTGAGATTATCTGTGCCACCCATTCATGGTAATTAATATTGGATATGGCTTATCATTGGGTTTATCACATTGGTCAATTCTTCAAGCTGGGCTTGGATAGCTTGGACGACCAGTTTTATGTGAAGCCTGTAAAACACATGCAGCACCTGCTTTGAGTCTTTGAACACCCAGAGAAATGATGAGAAACGGAGAACTATTGGTTGTGTTCTTTCTAGTTTTCATATAGTTTTCACATGCTACAGCCACCAGTGCCACCAGGCCGAGCAGAATTTTCCAAGGCCAAAGCTGGTCGCTGGGAGATGGCTCTTCACCTCCTCACCGACAGTGACAGTGATGGGTTCCCTGGCTCCATTCCAAGATGTTTCTTTTTACACATTTTACCACTAGAATATCCGGGAATCTGCAAAAAATATAAGTGAATAAATGAATGAGATTGAATAGTGTTAGCATGTATTAATAACATATATAGTACATTATAAATCATATGGTATAATATTCACACACATATATATATACAATACACAAATCATATAAACCTAGGATCAGCGGCCCCGCATCGGAGGTTGGATCTCATTTGCTACAATTCTGTGCTCTTGCACCTGCACGCGTCCAAGTGGAGTGGCTGGAACTCAGAGTTGTAGAGGTGATGGGTGGTGGCGACTATGAAGATATACCCTCTGGTAATTTAACATAGCTATTGAAAATGGCCATTTATAGTGGAATTTCCCATTAAAAATGGTGATTTTCCATAGTTATGTTAGTTTACCAGAGGGTATATATATATCCCAAAATGGGGGTTCAAGCAACAGCAGTTAGGATATGTTAGGATTTAACCAGAATTATCAATATTTATTTATATTTCACCAACAAAAAATTGGATGCCAGCATGAACAAGTCGGATTAAGACATTTTAGATGATCTATTTGGGCAAACTACATACGACATCATACGACCCCCTTGCCGGAAGTGACCCTTTCAATGTCACAAAGGATCGTTCGGTGGAAGACTTATCTAATGGCCTTATTTCCGGTCGGTGAATTTTGATACCCTCTGATACCCTCTGGTTATTTAACATAGCCGTGGTATAGATGGCCCATTTATAGATGATTTTCCCTGCTAGAAACCTCCATTTATTTTGGGGATTTTCCATGGCTATGTTAAATAACCAGAAGGTAAATGAAATGATGTTTTGCTGGTGAGAGAAAGGTTTGCGTGTCGAGAACTGCTAGGATTGGCTCTGGGACTGCAAGAGAGGGCAAAGTCAATGGAGCTGCCGGATGATCCAACACAAGACCTGACGATGAATCGAGCTTTATCAATGGCGTTTCAGCATCTTGGCGGCAGGATAGAGCTAAGGTCAGTCAGAGGAGTTGGCCATGCTGTGGTGCTGTGTGGTGCTGTGGATCCTGTATAGTTAACATGGGTTCACCACTACTAGTAAAACTGGTGGCAGAAAGGCAGAAACCAGCTATAGTTTGACATGATTGAATGGTTTATAGTTTATTATTCAACATCGTTGATTTGCCATAATCAACTATTACTATATATTGTCATATTGTCATTTTGCATTTCTTGGCTGCACAACCAGCATCCCAGGAATGCCGGCTCCTATCCCCACTTCTCCATCTGCATTCTGTCCTCCCTGCAGCTGCTGTGGCGCCAGCTGCGGCCGCCACGTTTCCGCGCACCGCGCGGGGGCGAGTTCTTCGTGGAAGCCGCCATGGCGGCGAGCCGCCGCGTGGCGGCAATGGGTTTCAGTTGAGGCGCCCGTGTTTTTTAGTTGAGAAGTGTAAAAGGATGAATGAATTCCATCATAATGTGAATAATTATGTCATATATGGAGATAGACATTTTGGATATTTTTGGATAATATATATATATATTAATAATTAATACAATATTGAGATCAGAAAGTGGTTAAAAGAAGTGGTTCCAACTGCGAAGAGATCTTCGAAACTCAAACCATTTTTTGAGAACACCATATTGTAAAAGAGTCACGCAAAGCATCACTCACTCATTGGGTTGGTTTAATGGAACATGTATATGTTGATTCTCACTGATTCTTTTACACAATACTCGGGACCGGACACTGTGGATAGAGAGCACTAGCTGCGGAGCCGTGGGCACGCCGTGGGTTGCAATATCGCGCTGGAGTGTTGGGGGCAATGGTGTTCTGCAAAGCCGTACCTAGTTCTTCTGGCAAAGTCGAAAGGTGAGCATCTTGCATTTGGAGATGTCATATTCGAGCCACAACTCGACCTTGTTGGAAGCATCTACTGCCAACCAATATAGCAATCGCCAAAAGCGGGCGATGCAAAGGAAGGTAGCGAGCACTGAGAACCCCTCAACTTTCTCCTTAAGCCATAGTTTTGCCCAATTTTTCCCAAATTTTAACCCTTAACTCAATGGATTGGTTTAAGGGAAAAATTCCAGGAAAACCCCATATTTAATGGTAAAAACCATGGTTTCCTGTAAATTTTCCCAAAAACCAATCCAGTGACAAACTGACCATGAACTCATTAGCCAATTTTAGTCCATTTTAGTCGCCAGGTTTGCGCGGCCTGGCTCTGCTTGGCTCCCCTGTTGGTCCGGCTTTGGAGCGAATCCTGGAGACCAGTGGGCTGCAGTCGCTGGAAAGGCAAACCCGCGCGCCTTGGTAGTTCGGGGATTTCCCCGCTTGCCACGTTTGCATTACCGGGGGGAATATTCACTATGACAGAAAACAGAGACACCTATCAACTATCCAAAAAACAGGCTGGCAGCCACTAAGTGACTAATTGGCCCAAAAAATATCCTCTCACGTGTAGAGTGGTAAACCCACCAAAAAGGATTACCATTTGGGGATCATTTGACAGGACCCATTGATGGTGATTTTGGGGAGTTATTATGGGGTATACCACTTTGTCCACATGGAGAAATCATTATCAGTCCTCCCCCAAATCACTATATATTGGGTATACTATGGTATACTACAAACACTATAGCATGTATCATTTATTATAGTGGTGGGTAAATAAAGCACCCATTAGGGAATTGTTTATTTATACCTATATTTATGCTGATGACTTGGGGGGTAGTTTATTTTATATATATATATATTATATTATATATTTTTTTTGGCAACTTTTTTGTGACGGTGAAGGTCGACATCCCATCATATGGAGCTTTCCTAAGTCATAGGGGTACCCCCCAGTCCTCATCAATTTGAAAAGAACTTTCCATTACAAACCACCCAGCTATTGGGGTAGCCCCATTTACAGAAACCTCCATATTTTACCATGCGCTTATGGATCATCCAGCCAAGGTGAGGCCACGACGAGAGGTCTCCTGGCGTTTGTCGGAGCGCGCTTTGGAAGTTCTGAGCAGCGTGGGCGCCGGCTTTTTGCGGACGGCGCTGGATCAGACCCAGCTTCGATGGCGAAAATGGGGGGGCGAACATATGGCTGGGGCTGGATGGGGATAATCTAATGTGGTAAACCATAGTAAAGCCATGGTAAAACCCAATACCTCCAATTTCGGAGGGCTTATGCCAGCCATTGCTGGAAAAACTTGAGGATTGTTGATGATTGGTTTTATCGCATTGGGCGATTTATTGCAGATGATCCATGGGATGTAGTACAGTAGGGAAATCATTGGATACAACATGGAATGAATAGAATAGAGATGAATAGAGTCTATAAGATAAAATAAGATTGGATTTGTATAGATTTGTTTTGTTTTCATTTGATTGAATAATCAGATAGCTTAGATAGATTGGATAGATTAATAGATAGATGAGATTAGACTAGATTAGAGTACTAGATTAAATTCGATTCGATTATAGATTTGACAGAGAGACCGATAGATATACCCTCTGGTAAACTAACATAACTATGGAAAATCACCATTTTTAATGGGAAGATCCACTATAAATGGTCATTTTCAATAGCTATGTTAAATTACCAGAGGGTATCATCTAAACCCACAATATCCAACATAAATGGAGATGGGTCAACATGTAACAGCCAGGGGACCGCAGGGACCGGAGATCTTGGTCCAAATGGGGTGTGATTCACTAAATTTCACTGAGGGGATTCACGAGTGGGTTGTTAAAATTTCGGATGTTTTTGCTGTTACCAATCATTTGTAGATCTTTTGGTATCTTTTGGTTGGATGCTGGTATCTTTGAACGAATTATAGATGATGTTCTTATTAAAACTTCCATGTTCCATTGCCAAGTTGGACTACCCGCCCTCCAAATGGCCCGCATTGGCCAGGAATTCTTCCGGCACTGCAGCGCTCCCATGGCCTTTGACCCTGTCAAGGGCCGATACCTCAAAGTGGACTCGGTCACAAACTCGTGCGCCCGGCGCAGGACTGTTGGACACCGTTGGTTTGAACCTGGTTTCAAGATTCCCACGTCCATGTTGAGCTTCCCGATGTGTGTCCAGCTATTCCAAGATGGTTTTTCCAAAAATCCATGAAAAAAAAACATCATTTTTCAACAGTTTCTGCAGGGATCAACTTTTTGCCACTGTTGGAGGTACGTCGACTGTGACATGCCTCACGACCCGATCGAGTACCCCTTGGTGGTCAACACTGGCGCGTCGCTGGTGGGACAAACCGATGAGGCGTGGGCGATGTGTGGACGCGGGTAGGATGGGCGAACTACGGGTGGCACCGGTAAAACGGGGTATTGATGGGGCAGAATGGTAACTTAAGTCGAATTATGCAGGGTAGCTAAGGTTGGGCATGGGAGCTGGTCTGTCGCTTGGGGTGATTTTAATCCTCCATCCCCTCTCACTCCGTCCTATTTGGGATGAGTCTACCACTTGAGAAATCTTGAGAATAATTCTCGGATGGCCCCAAGCCACCAAGAGTAAAAAGTGAGGATGCTGCAATTCAAGCAGTCACAAAACCACATTAAAACAAGCATTAAAAAACGGCAAACAATGAGCCCTGCGACCCAAGACCTGGAGCAAATAGGGTGGTGATGGTGTTGTTGGTGGCCACATGCATCCCATCTCGACAGGACTTGAACGCCCCGGATCGACCACGAAGTATGTTACTCAAGGACAGGGAGGGGCTGTGTAGGACCCCGGCTGGGGCCCAATTTTGCATGGGGCGCTGTTGAGCCGCTGTTGAACCCTCCACTTGACATATTTTCTCTTCGTGTTCGGCCGTGAAAGCGTGACTCAAATTGATTTCATTGATTTTATATGCCAATGAGGCCGCCCCGCGTGTGCTGTAGAGAGGTTTTCCTTCCTGACCAGAACATTTTGCAGTGATGATTTATTTTGCAGTTGATTCATGGCATTGTGGATCCACTTCAGAATGGATAAATTAGATGATTTAGATGGATAAATAGATAGATGGATAGATATTGCTGGCATTTTTGGGTTCCCAGGCGGTATAACCAGATATAACCAGATGCCTTGGCAAGCCTTGGATGGTGTCCCAAAGCCAGTGGGATCGCAGGAGCTGGTGAAGACGGGGGCTGCAATGAAAACCCCTTTGTTCTTCCTGGACCAGTCAGGGCGTCCCAGTGCCCGGCATGAAATCAATCACACTGATCAGGGGTTGGTAAATGTCCCATTTTGGGAATATTGGACATCACCTTATAGTAGCCATTATAGACCATATACCTAATGGTTGGGTGATGTTCAATGGGGACATTTAATGACCCATGCTGATAATTGGATTAATTGGATAGTGGATGATAATGGGATATTGATGAAGATGTGATGGGGATATATAATATATTATAATATATGAGAATACATGGACATATGCATCTCAGGGATTTTGTAGAAAAAAATCGACCATACGCAGCACTGCACTACTGAAAATATTATATAATATATATATATATTGTGTGTGTGTGCGCGCGCGCATTGCGCCAAACGCACAACAATCCTACAAGTGCAAGAAATCCTCTCACAACGGCCCGTTGGCTAGAGCATTTGGATGTTGCTGTTGAATCTTGTGGGGCAGATGTAATGGGATATGCCATGCGCTGGAGAAAGATCCATTGCCAATTTATTCTATAAACAAAAACTAGGGACCGGGATTATGGGTGTGTTTGAAAATCGGGAACATTATTGTTTAAACCATGGGTTTTGGAGCAAAGCAATTATTTTTCATACAAATTCCATATCTTTGAGCTACCATCCCAACTAACAAATCGACCCTGCAATGAGTTTGGGCTTGGAAGGCAATTCTTTCCAACCTAAAATGGGTGATTCTCAGGATCTAGTCTAGTTGGGGGAATGGCAATATATTGTTGTTGGTGATACCCTCTGGTAATTTAACATAGCTATTGAAAATCACAATTTTTAATGGGAAAATCCACTATTAATGGTCATTTTCAATAGCTATGTTAAATTACCAGAGGGTATATGATATACTGTATCTCATTGTTTCCCCTTTATGTCCCTATGTTTGGTCGTTAACACCCAAACTCAATGAAACCGCATTCAACCCCATCAAATCATCATTAAATGCCATGAAATCACCATTCAACCCCATTAAACTTAAACCCTCCAAAAAACTGTGACTTTTTCCTGAGTCATCTGAGTCCCTTTTTTGCCCTCACCAAAAATCGCGGAGGCCGGCCGCCTGCTTTGCGCTCTTCGACGGCGTGAGAGGCGAGGTTTTGTGAGAGGCCAAGTAGCAGAAACAGATATGCCAGGTATATTTGGTGAATAACATACAATGGTGCATATTTATATATAGAATGGTCAATATAAAATGGTTAATACACAATGGTTAATATGGAATGGTTAATATATCTAATTGTTAATTGTTACCGGATACAATTAATTTTATAATAGTAGTTAATAGTGGTTAATAGTGGTTAATGGTTAATAGTATCCCAGACATAGAATGGTGATCTATTACTATACCTTAGTTATGATTAATATATTTGATAATTGGGTTAACAATGGATAACCCAATGGTTAACTTATCAATGGTTAATAGCGGTTCATACTGGTCAATGACGGTGATTAAGGGTGATGATTAGTCATTAATGGCATATACGCGCTGGTAAACTCATATTGTAGCTATGGAAATCACCATTCTTAATAGGTAAATCATCTACAACTGGGTGAATGGTGGGTGGGTCACCTCAAACACGGCCGGCCGTGAAATCCCAGAAGTAAATGAGACATTTTCCAGCTATATTTGATTCTGGCTGGTATATTTGGCTAAGAAATGACTTTGAACTATAACAGGGCTATAAGTGGTTAAGAAGTCCTTAACAAGTCTTTAACAAGTCCTTAATGAAACCCAACACTCCTTAATCTTATCTAGGCTATAAGTCGTGAATATCCCCATGTTTGCAGGTTTGCCCAAGCCCATTATAGGTGCATCATAGCCACAAGGGTGGCAGCCACAGGTCATTTTACTTTAAATGCAGTTTTGTTTGATTGTAAAATCCAAGTTTTTGATGCTTAACATCCCATTAAATCCCTAGAATAACTCCCATCAAATGCCAGTAATTTACGACAAAATCCTGGCTGATGTTCTTGGCTGCGATTGCCATGGCCCATGGCTAGGCGGAGCGGCGGTGGAGTGGTGCTCCAAGCACTTCCACACCAAGCTTCTTCCACAGCTCAGCGCCCGAAGCTGAGTCACAGCGCTTGTCACGTTTCGGTTGAAGGGATGTGTTAAAGGTATGGGATTAATAAGGTGATTCATGGATCATTATATTATGGGATTGATATGGATTGATATGGACTGATATGGATTGATATGGATTAATATGGATTAATTGTATGGATAATCATGGGTATCAATGGATGATAATGGATGATAATGGATGAGAACAGATGCTAATTATATAATATTATATAATGGATGATATTGGGATAATCATGGGATACTGACATTAATCTGGATGGATTACACTGTGGTGAGATATTAATGAAGATATATTGTAATGGGGATATGTCCTATTAAGATGAATTTGATATAATTTGATCATGATCTCACGTCCTGACGTCACTGGAATGATGGTGAATGTACAGGGGAATCATCCCCACGTGGCCGTTTTTTTTTTTTCTCGGGGGCTGGTGAATTACTTTAACTCAGCCGGATAAAAATAAGCATATACCCTCTGGTAAATTAACATAACTATGGGAAATCACCATTTTTAATGGGAAAACTCACTATAAATGGCCATTTTCAATAGCTATGTTAGTTTACCAGAGGGTAATAGTCATATCTGGGAGGATGACGTCTTAAAACCGATGGTATTTTGCGATGATCCGTTGGAACTATGCAAAACGAAGACCTGAAGACCTGCTTTTTTTCCATGGTAAGGCTATCCTCATGGGAAAAAAATATGGAAACCATGTCCATAAAAGTGCAAGGGTGGGGCATTCAGATGTTCAGAGAAATCATTTTCCCAGAGATCAGGATTGGTGGCTTGCAGATGGTTGCAGCATGTCGCACCTAACCTTGGTTTGGTGATACTTACATCATCAGAAATCATCCGATTTTCAGCGAGATATCAAGGTCAGGTGGGTCCCTGTGGGGATCATCATTTCTATTCAATGGCCACACATCGGTGCCCATCTCCCAATTGGTTCACTGGTTTTAAAGAACTCACCTAAATGTCTAAATGCCTAGGCCTAGACCGGTTATATCCCGCAATCTACCCAAGAAACGGTTGGTGTCATCAAAATCTTGAGGGTCAAGTCCGCCTTGTATCTTTTCTTTCTGGGCAATCCATTCCCATTAATATCAAACACCCCCAGTCTATGGTCCCAAATATTTGATTTCATCCCCTACTAATAGTAGATTCCAATTGCATCCCATTATACCTCTGTTTTACCACCATTATACCACTATTCTACCCCATAGGATCCATGTATGGTATATATGGTAACATTTACCATCAATATACCCCCAATGTTAGCATATATACCATACATGGATCCTATGGGTACTACTATTGGGATGTGATTATGACATATTTTACCCTTTCATTGGAGCCCATCTGTTTTCTCAGTTGGCACGCCTTTGCCTCGGCCTCCCCAGCTTGAGGCCTCCATCACCAGCTGGCACGACCCGGACCTTAGGTGGACCGTTCCGAATAACGGGGTCCCTAAATGAATGGTTCATATCATCCTCAAAATGTTGGGGAAACCCAATGGGATAATTTTTCGGAATTATTTTTTGGATTATATATGAGGGGAATATTGGGGATGATGGGTGTTGAAAACCATATGATCTAGATTAGGAGAACCGTATTCTTGGGAAAAATATTGACTAATGTGGGAAACCCAAATGTCATAAACAACTACCATTTGGGGATGGTTTACAAGTTGATACCACCCGTAAAACCGCGTTATTATTGGGATGGTCTATGATTGAGTTTACGACATCTTGTGATGCAAAACTTGATGTTTTCTTACGGGAGATGACTGAAATTTACTGTAGCCTTGAAATATTTTTGGGGTATGTGGCTGTTTTGGGTTCCACCTTGCATGTCAGAGGGGTGCGTAGATCTACCTTCTCGAAATCAGCTCATTGCGGGCCAGGGATCTCTTCCAATCGATCTTGGCAGAGCTTGATGTCGCAATGCCCAGCTAGTGGGGCTGGGGCTGCCCATGAAAGTTGGCCATACCGGGGCATACCTAGCATTGAACATGCCCAGAAGAAAAATGAAGCCAGCCTGAAAGGTGCCACAGTTCAGATGCACTCCATGCAAGAGTCAGAGAGGTCGCCTTCCGACATGATCCATGCCAGATGTTTATAGACCTTTGTCATTTACGGGTTCGTTCATGTAGGTTCATCTTGTTTGCACCTGAGGATGCAACAAATTCGTATGCTGCTGCTAGAAATGCACCTCCCTAATTGCAGTATATTGCAGTAGTTCTAACCTTGACTCACGTCCATTCAAAGGCAGTTTTGGGATATATAAATCCAACAAGTCTTTTTGCACTGATTTGCTGGTACCATGGTTTTTGTCTCCTATGATTATGCTATGGCAGTTCCCTGCAAATGCTCCCTGTAAATGTTCCCTAAAAAAATCAGGGCGGAGCAAGAGCATATTAGATAAAACTGCACAATTGGCATTATTACATGTTTTATAAATACCGTATATCTTGTGTGTTTGTAACATCATGTTTCCATGTGTTTCCATATGTTTCTCTTGGCGAAGCACTGAGGTTCAACTGGTGCAGCAGGCAGGCTGCTGCTGGGAAGGCGTTTCCGTGTCCATTGTCCGTGCCCCAGTCGATGAGGTCCAAAGCTGACCAAAGCTAATCATAATGGTGGAAACATAACATACATTACATGTATCGTATGATCATTGATGTAAATCACAAAGTCAGAATCAGAGATCTATATGTACAAACTAGGTAGTTACCAATCAGAATCAGATTTATATAGATTTATACTAATCTGTATGTGCAAACTATGTAGTTACATGATGTTACCCTATGGTATCCAAGTCGGATCTTCGTAGCATGTATCCCGAGGCGCTCCTGCTTGGGGATCGCTTGGTTGTTCCTTGGCGATGGATCGAGGTGGCTACGGTAGGATTTTGTTCAGCCCATGGTGAATCCCATTGAACCACCATGAAATCAGACGGATCCCCAGCATGAAATCCATCTGAAATCCCTGGAGAAATGCTGATTCTTCGCGACCTGTGGTCTGGCAGCTGGTTTTTTTTGGCTTCCATAAACCCAAACATTATTGCGGAGGTCCCCGGCATGGGCGGTAATAATTAGCCCAAACATGCCCAAACATTATCCCGTTAGATCCCCATGTTCGCCCATGTTCCATTCTTACATCAATATTCCATGTTCTGTCCCATTACCCAGTGGCAATCAATGGAGGTGGCTGGGAAAGTCATCGAACTATTAAAATGGGACATGTTCCATTGCGCTGGGATGGTATCGGATGGTATCGGATGGTCATATTCCATGAGTATCCCCTTTATACCAATCCCATTTCGGGGTTGGTAGGTCATCCTCATTACGTTCGATTCGATAAATTCGATATCCCATTGTACTGCCATTTAGGTTGGTTAAATGATGCGAAACACTCCTTTTCGATGCTTAAACCCATTATAGCACCCATAAGAAAAAGCCCCGTTGGGGGGTTGGTTGAATCCCATCAAGTTCCTATCAAATTTCCCATTGAATGCCACTGAATCACCATTAAAATCACCGCTAAATCATGTAAAATCACCATAAAGTTCCCATCAAATCACCATTAAATCCCATTGAAATCACCATGTTCAACTTGATGTTTGATCTTCACTTCAGGTGGCAAGCCTGGGAGGCACCCATGCCCTGGCTCCGGGCTCGAGATGTGAAACTTTTCTGCTGGGTCAAGGGGATATTTATGGAATAGTAATGGGAATGGTACCAAATGGTAATAGTAGTGGTCATGGTGTTTTTGTTCCATATTTCTGTACCAAATGGTAATTATGGCACAATCAGGTGGATCATCCCCAAATTCCTCAACTTGGGAGCTCTTTTCAGGCTAGTGAGTTGGTACAGTTCAGCCAGATGGACTAGTAATGGACGATTTTCCGGGGATCTAATGGGATAATATCTGCACTGATGAGTGATTAGTGTTTATTATTTTTGAAGATCTAAGAAGAACGAACTGATTGCAGGACTGTGGTATCCCGAACTCGCGGCCAGCTGGACGGGAAACGCAAATGAGGCAAATGAGACGTTCGTTCGCAGATCTCAAAATCTGTCAAACATGGTCAAATGAGTCAAACTACTCATTTTCCGTTATTTATAGTAGATTTCCCTATAATAGATAGATTAGATGAGATTAGATTAGATTAGATTAGATTTGATTGATAGATAGATTAGATTGATTAGATTGATTAGATAGATTAGATAGATTAGACAGATTAGATAGATAAGATAGATAAGATGGATAAGATGGATAAGATGGATAAGATGGATAAGATGGATAAGATAGATAAGATAGATAAGATAGATTGATAGATGGATATATAGATTTACAAGATTAGATAGATAAATCAGACAGATAGATTAGATAGATAGATTATGATTAGATACATATATTAGATAGATAGATTAGATCGATAGATTTGACAAATCGATTAGATAGATAGATTAGATAGATAGATTAGATAGACTAATAGATTAGATAATTAGATAGATTAGATAATTAGATAGATTAGATAATTAGATAGATAGATGGATAGATAGATAGACAGACAGACAGATAGATCGATAGATAGATAATGTGGTTAAAACAATGATAGTAATTATACAACCCATTTGGGACTGGTCTATACCACCCATAAAAATTGTGATTTGGGATGGTTATAATATGTGTATATATATATATAGATATAATGTATATTTCCCACCATTTTCCCACATTTTCCCACCATTATCCCATGTTTTCATGGACATTTTCTCCATGCCACCCGAGGTCATCGGCCCCAACGGCAGCTGGAGGGCCCTGGATGGACGCCATAGTCCCGTCAGCGCCGAAGAGCAGAAGAGGATCAAGGCGGCTCCGGTGATCAGCTCTGTGGGCTAGGGTGGCTTCTGGATGTCGTGAGGTGACTCAATTTTTTTTTTGCGTTGTGCCTTGCAGTGGGGTGACTTCATGTCAAAAGGGGTGCGAAAGGTCCAGCGCTCGTAGCTAAGTTGAGTATAAGTGGCTGAATTCTATTGTTTATGGTAGATATAGCATGATATAATATAGCTATAGACAACTATAGTAGCTATTGTGTCTATAAGCCAACTTATAACTGGGGGGCCCATCCTGTGGGAAAATGGTGGGAAAATCCACTATAAAAATGATAATTATACATGGAGGTTTATAGCTGGGAAACTCATCGAAGTAAAGTTGGGCAATTGTTTCATAGCCATGTTCAATTAGCAGAGGGTAGTTTTTTTTCCAGAAATGGATGGTTTAGAAGTTCATAATCAATTGGTGGTCACAGCAGTGGATGATTTATTGAAACATGGAATGGAGTTGTCTTTTGCCGGAGATCGATTTTTTCCAAGCACAGATTTTGGAAGATGTTTCCATGTCATGTTTTCAAGAAATTTTCTAACTTGCTTGAAAGGTATGTAAAGAGAATAGCATGAACTGGCCATGAATACCGGATCTCAGTGGAGGTTTTTGGAGCCCAGAGATAGAGAGGATCAAAGCAAAGGCAAATACTCTACTCTCTACTAGCCTTGAAAAGTGGCCAGTTTGATGCAACTCAGCCAATAGGTTAGTTATAGAATTAAGCAGATGGTTAGAGCTGGCCGGTGGTTTGGTTTGGTTTCCTGCAGGTGCCCCCCATAGTCCAAACGGTGACATGGTGATGATGATTGTTTGTGAGAGAACCATTAGTCATTAGTTGATTTGACCTTCCAAGTTTCTAGTTCCTGAAAGGTTGGGGTCTTAACCAATATATATATATATATAATAACTATATAATACCATATATATATACTATTCCATCACGAACATAGCAATATTAGTTGAAATTAGTTGGAGTTTATCCTTTGGTAATCAAACATGACAACGGATACTTCCCCATTCTCCATTTTTTTCGATGACGTTCAGAACGATTTTCCCTGTTTTTTTGCCCGTTGGGTTCGGGGATTTTCCCGCAATATTCAATTAATATCCCGTTCATAATTATTCCAGTACCGTTAATCACCATTAATCACCATCATCAACCACAAATCACCATTACCAATCATTAATCACCCTTTGACTGCTGATCTCCCGAGATGGCGATGGAGAGAGAGAGAGAGAGAGAGAGAGAATCATTCATCGCCATTTTTCACCATTGATCACCATTATCATCCACTATTGTCTCAAAATATATTGATCACCAATTAATCACCATTAATCACCAATTAAACCAATATTTCAATAATTATCACCATTAATCATCATTAAGCACCATTTAATCACCATTTAAACACCAATCATTATCTTAACCATCAATAATTTATAATGGTTAATTACTAATGATATCATGACCATTAATGGTGACTATAAAATACCATGATGGTTAATGATATTAACGAATGGTATCTGGTTGAATTGACCATAAACTAATATTATAATAATTGTCCCTAACCATATTATATATATAATTGTCTGGTTTAATTAACGAATTATGGTCAATGGTCATAATGATATACCCTCCAGTAAATTAACATAGACCCCGCCAGATAGGGGTTGGAAGACTAGTTTCCACTATAAATTGGTCATTTTCAGGGTCTATGTTAAATAACCAGATGGTAATTGGCCATATAAAATGTCAATGAATTGACCATAAAACCAATGAATCCATTGGCATCGCCAGGCCGTCGGTGCCGAGATCGAGGGTGAGGCTTCCGGCTGCGGTGTCGTGCAGGCACCCTTTGCCCCTTGGCGCGGCCAGCGTTGCGCGGGGGTCGAAGGAGGTCTCGAAGGCGCCGCCTCTGGCAGATAGAAACCAATAGGATGATTTGCCCATGATTTGCCCTACTCAAAATGATGATTTTCCATAATAAATATGTACGATAATATATGATACGATATGATAATATATGATAAAATATAATGATAATTATATGATAGAATGAAGTTACAGTTATTAGGCCAAAAATCACTGACAAACTTGGATATGTGCATCGAATCAAGATTAACGACATGATTTCTCAAGAAATCCGAGTGATGTGAATCCTGGGGCTTCCCAGGGTTCTCATGTCACATCTCAGGTCCACAAGAGCCTGAGACCCAGGGAGTGGCAGATCCAAGAAGAAACCACGGCTGAAGAGGAGGCTATGGCGCCCGACCATGACCAACTTAACTTCAATGATGCGGGGAGGATGGACTTACTGCAATCTTACCTGGTAGGGTGTGAGCTACTGATGACTTGCTGGGTCTAGGCAGTTTGGGGAATCACATTAATTTTTACCACTGACCGCTGACCGTCCCCTGAATATGTGGCCCAAAATCACCAGTTTCAATCGGTAAATCATCAGACTAATCATCGGACTGTTACCCTCTGGTTGTTCAACATAGCCATGGAACATGATCCATTTATAAATAGTCTATAGGTGATTTACTTATGATGTTTTGCCTATAAAAAACATGGTGATTTTCCAGTTCGGTGAAATCTGAAATGACCAGAGGGTCATCATCATTCACCATTTGTCACATTTATTCACATGTTATTCACATTTTATTCAGATTTGATTCTCCATTAATCACTATTAATCACCATTTAATCAGCATGATCAACCACTGTTTACCACCATTCATCACGATTCATGGGCCATCCCCACTTACCAGTCCAGGTCTCAGCCCGGGAAGCCGCTTCCCTTCCGGCCAGGTGCGACGAGTTCTGGAAGCGTCCCCAGACGTCTTCGCCACACTGGGGCTGAGCCCCGAGGTCGGGCTGAACCTGTTGCGCAGGGGCAAGGGGGATATATCCATGATAATGTATTGAATTGTATAATTACTATAGATCCAAAGAGGCCATAGATAGGGGGTATACCATGGTATACCAAATTTTCCAACACCATTATATATGGTCCCGTCCTCCGTCTCTCCACCCCCCCCCCCCCATGGGTTGGGTCCCCAGGTAGTAGCCCCAATTCCCTTCTATTTGCAAGCTATTGGCAGCATTTCTGAGGTCCAGCGTCGTATTTGCTAGGTCTTTGCAGCATTTCTGACTACCAGCCTCGCATTTACTAGGTACATGCTACCTTTTAGGCGACCTACGTAGCACACATACTCCTTCAAAGTACCTACGTGCTACCTATAGTCATACATACATGTGCTATGTATCTACTGTATCTACTTCCTGTTTACTACCTGTGTACTCTGACAACACTACCTCTGTTGAACATATACCGTACCTACCATACATGTCAATGATGCCATGCATACCATACCTATCATATCTATCATACATACCATACATACCATACATATGAAATGTAATTACCACACCTACCATACATACAATAGCATACATACAATAGCAAGCATACATGCCATACATACCATACCTACCTTAGATAGGACATATTCCATACCCAACATAGTAACCATACATACCATACAGACCATACATACTGTCATATCAAACATACCATATCCAACAGACTTACATACCATACCTACCATCCATACAATACCAACCACTCATGCCATACATACCATACCTACCATACATACCAAACATACCATACTTCCCAAACATGCCATACCAGACCGACCATACACACCATACATACCCACCATACCATACCACACCCCCACCACACCACAGGGGGGGGAGGGGGACAGTGCCACACCCCCACCACACCACAGGGGGGGGAGGGGGAAGATCTCATATGGGACCAGTATATGGGACCCATCCACCACACCACAGGGGGGGGAGGGGGACAGTGCCACACCCCCACCACACCACAGGGGGGGGAGGGGGAAGATCTCATATGGGACCAGTATATGGGACCCATCCACCACACCACAGGGGGGGGAGGGGGACAGTGCCACACCCCCACCACACCACAGGGGGGGAGGGGAAGATCTCATATGGGACCAGTATATGGGACCCATCCCATATGGGGGGGGGAGGGGGGGGGTGGCAGGGCCTGGTGCATATATATCCATATGTTTGGTCGCTTAAAGTTGGTTAAAGCCCCACTTTTGTCCCCACTTTTGTTGGTTTTTGTCCCCATTCCTTGGCGTCCTGCGCAGGACACTGTGGATGGCAAGGCCGCCCGAAGTAGCTACAAAAAGCTGGCCTTGAAGGCTCGCCTAAAAACTGTTGCGACCGGTTTACATTTGTTGATGTTTTGTTTGTGCATTACCCTCTGGTAAACATACAAAAAACTATGGAAAATCACCATTCTATAAATGTTAAATTACCAAAGGGTAATATGCCATCTATATTATGCTTTATGATGCTTTATGTATCTTTATGTACATTATATATATATATATATGCATATAGAATGTCATTAGTAAGTATGACCCCGCAGTTTGGGGGGTTCTTCTGGTAGAAGCTCTTCTGTAGCCTCCTGGAAGCAGCTGATGGAATATCGGACATAGCTTCATTGCTGCAATTTAGTTTTGCGGGAATGGACATGTCATGAAGTATCTTTAAACATAACTCCAGAAATAGCCGCATTTGTTTTTGACTGGACATATCATGACACACATTTATTTGAGCATCCCTGTGAAACAGCCAAACTTGACAGCTGCGCCTGTAGAAGCCGAACTTGACGGCTACGCCTGTAGAAGGTGAATAGAAAGATTGGTAGATAGGCACATAGATACATTAGATAGACAGATAAACAGATAGACTCATGGATGGATGCATGGATGGATATACTGTAGATCAAAAAGCATATTGGGTATATTGGGTGAACATAGACTCAGACCATTTGATCCATAGGATCTAGCGCCAGGTCCATCCAGACAAGGCACCCGAAGAGCTGAAGGTGAAGCGCGGAACTGGCAAAGGGGAACTGCCAGTGACCAGGGATCCCTATCCTCAATAAATGGCGGTAATGATGGTTTATATTAAAGGGGAATCATGACTCATCCATCCTCATCCCGATTCTTGCTTTCACATGGTTTCATCGGTTTGTTTTCTTTGCCGAAATTTGATACAATTCATTTACATTCCATTGAACTAACGGTGATTAACTCAAATTTAGCTGTAACATTATTGGCAACTACAATTATAGCTGTAACTGTCCGCACTATTTTGTCAACAATTCACTCTTTAAGTGTAATTATATTATATTAAGGATGCGTTTCTGTACATATTGTTACATCAAGTGCTGATATTTTAGCGCAATGGTGATTGCTAACAGCCTCTGGGAATTGAACATAGCTGTGGTTAAAGTCATCATTAAAATATTTGGTTTGCATGGGCCCTTTTCCATAGTTAGTAAGTATGTTACGAATTACGGGAGGGTACGCTGTGGGTGTTTAACATTCGCCCTTAGTTGGTGGAATTTATAGGGACCCCCAATGATGGGACCCCCATCCCCATAAGCCTCCCATACTACTCCCATAAGAAGCCCCTATTCCGTATGGGAAGCTTCTGGGAATAGGCTTCTCATCATTGGGGGTCCCTATAAATTCGACTTCGTAAACCCTTGTTATTCAGGGGCTCACGGAAATGGAGTGTTGGATGAATTGTTGGGGTTACCATCCCATGATAAAGTGGGTTTTAACCCCAATAAAAGCAAGGCCTTGTTACAGGGGTTGTTGTCATAAACAACTATCAACCCTACGAATGGGACTTGTTAAGCCCGTTGTTGTTCGGGGGAGCTTTGTGGGTTGCCCTCAAACTTCAATGAAATATTGAAGCATAACCCTGACCACTAAAGACGCTGTACAAAATGTCTAAAAGAGGCTAAGCAATTATAAATTACAGTAGATGAAATGAGTGAACGTTCATTTAAGTCTACACAAATGTCCGCCGAAATGTTGAGTCTGTCAAGTTGCCATTGTATTTTTGTATTTTTTTTGTGCAATCACCCATCACTACTTTTTTTTGCAATTTTGGGTGTTCCATTTGTCCATGTTCCTTCGTCTTTACCATCCAGTAAATTAAGATCGATACCGAAACTTACCAGGCGGAGATCTTTTTGTTTGCTCCAAACTGTCCAAACTGAGATTCTCCAGGTCAGGGCCAAGGAAGCTTTTGACAAGGTGGAAAAGGCCGCAGCAGCCGTTGAGGCCAGATGTGCTGATATTGGACATGGCAGCCATCCAATAACTGGGAGTGAATATGATAACTTCAATGTGACGTTACTGGAATGATGTTCGGGATTAAGGGAATCATCCCCAAATGGCTGCATGGTAACAGCTATTTTCAGGTTAGTGATTATTATATATGATTCAGCCAGGAATATGACATTCCAGACAACCATAGATAGGAATAACTGGCGATGGTTATCGGAGTTTGACCCACAGACTGCCGTTTTGCAGCAAGGAATTGGATTTCATGGGGATAAGACCCACGATTTAACGATCCAGAAGCAATGAGGATAGTAACCAAGACGATGATCTGGGGAGCTGTGGAACATTGGGCCTGTCATGCCTGTCATGTTTTTCCCGTTTAACGCAAGCATGGAGAAGTTGATGGGGATAAGAACCAAATTTATGCAAGCTTGCTGGTGGTTTCATGTTTATGTTCATCCCTAAAATGGGATCATGATCCATATGATCCCCACCAGAATAGTATTGGCGGTTGAAACAAAGCAACCAGAACCAACCAGATCACTTGCGCTACTGAAGCTTGGCACGGAACTACTCCGGGCCCCTACCAAAAGTACAGTGTAGCCGTGACACAACGGGAATGTTTTTTGGGATCTTCGCCTCCACTTCGGATCATCTCCTTGACCAGATCTCTGGATCCGATGGACATTTTTTCACTTGGAAAAAGATGGAACATGCTAAGCACGACCAGTAAAAGCAGGCTGATGCTTTACCCTCTGGTAATGGCTGACATAGCGAACTGGAAAGATCCACCATGTTTTAATGGGAAAATCCACTATTTCTATGGTAATTTTCAATAGCTATGTTAGTTTACCAGAGGGTACATATTCTTGTTCGTTTAATGATGTTCGTTTGCCCTAAAGCGGGATGATGGTGGATGGTCATGTATATATTCCCGGTAAAATGTGGTAAATCAAAAATCGTAGACCATCCCAAATGGCATCATCGGCATCATCTTCACAGGGGGGACCATCCCAAAGGCATTTTGCGAGACCGACGTGGAGGCGACCCAGTGCCTTCTCCGGGTCTTGCATGGGGTTTCACGCTCAGGGATGGGGAATGGGAGAGATTTGGGGCAGATGTGCATAATTCACGTGCATAAGATATCATAAGAACATAAGACATCTATATTCTCAGTATCCCCTTAGAAATTTTGTTTATAAACATGTGACATGTGAGGGCATATCCGATATATCCCGATTTTTAGTCTACAAGAGGCTGTCAGTCTATATCTATTATATGTTTGTATAACACACTACAATATCTACAATATATATATAATACAATATCGTATAGTAGGGTATAGTACAATATAACAATACGCACTCGATATCCTCTAGTTCGTAACATCACACTTAGCTTGCTATATCATACCCTTAACGCCATGTTACAGATGCCTACGGGAGATGACCAGAAACTCTGAGGCTGGTAGCAGCAAGGCTTCCATGACCCGAGCCTGGACCTTGTCGTTGGGGAATGGGACGATGCCAGATTTATGGCTCAACAAATTTGGACCACCTAAGGCATGACATACTGGAAACTGTTTTAAGATGTTTTAATACTCCAAGGTAATTGGGATGTTACATGGTGTACCCTTGCTGCTTTTCGTGCCCGGTTCGTGAGCCACACCAACGTTTCCCCTGTCAAGCCGAGCTGGAAACATCCTTAGCCAGATATGGCAGGGTGTCCACTCAGCCGTGGCTGGTGGGTTCTGGATGGCACCAGCCAGAACTTCAATGATTTTTTCTGTGTATACCCTTCGGTGATCAAACATGACTAGCTGGATCTACCCTCTGGTAAACGAACATAGCTATTGAAAATTACCATTTATAGTGGATTTTCCCATTAAAACTGGTGATTTTCCATAGCTATGTCAGCCATTACCAGAGGGTAGCTGGGAAATCGCCTAAATGGAGAATTGAATGGGGAACTCATCTACAAATGGTGGATTTCCATGGCCAGGTTTGTGGCCACCAGAGGGTAGTTCAACGAGCTGTGCACATTCCAACCATTTCCAACCACTCAAAATTAACAAAATTTCATGTTTTATAGCAACCCCAAAAAGAAAGATAGGAAAAGAGAATCCTACCAACATATAGTGGTACATATATATACCTATCAAGACTGTTCGATGATTTTTGGGGTCTCAGTAGCTGTGCTGCCTGGATGGCAAGGCCACTGCGGTCACGGTCCTGGGTGCTGAAGACGACGTGACGCCAGAAGAGGCGGCAACGGGCCGTTGGGGCACGGGGTTTTGCCATCGGGTTGTGCTGCGGGGATAGCTGAAACTATCTGAAACTTACTGCCCAAATTGGATGGTTTCACTTAAGTGATCTTAAATCACATTGGATTGATATAAATTATAAATTGATAATTTTTACGGGCCCACTGGTGCCCTATGTTTGAGCCAGAGCCATGTGTTTGACAATTGCAACATCCCTGAAGAGATGGATATTTTTTGCAGAGAAAGTGCCGTGGTTTAGCCAATATCACTGGCTTAAAAAATAGATCATCAATAATACTGTAAGTAGCTGAAGTGTCATGACTACGGCCCCAAGGGGTACTTTAATCCTTGATGAATCGATATGACTCGTTACTTGGATGGACGACTTCTGGATTCTTTTTGGAATTCGTATCGTGCTAAGATTTTATGCAATATCATATGCGGCATATATATATATATATGATATAATATCACATTTACACACAGAGATAAATAGAGAATACAAGGATGTCTCCAGGGTTTGAATTCTCATCCCCATGTTTCAAGACTATATCATAGTCTCTTATGGTCCATTTTCTGCAAGGAAATCTACTCTTAGCCACGCCCGTACCTCCGCAGGCAGGCAAGAAGGGCCGAGCACGGGAGCCCAAATTTGCACGGATGGATTCAGCAAGAGAGAGAGAGAGCGAGCGAGAGAGAGAGAGAGAGATGCACACTATCCTTATACAATCTTATATATCCTTATATACTTATGTATATACATATGCACAGATATATATCCGAATCTCAACCGGCTGTTTCATGTCGAACCTCTACTTATTCTACTTGGAGAATCATCTCCCTTAGAAAGTGGTTAATTATTTGTTGTTGAAAAGCATGGTTCAGATGTCCCCGAACTAGGATTGGTTCAAACATAGGTGTGTTTGCGAATGGTGTGTACCTGGATCCAAATGGCAATTCAATGGAGAACAGTATTTTATCAACACCAGATGGCCTTTTTTCATCTTTTTTCCACACTAAATTCTTAGACTCTTAGACAGACAGACCGACCTACCCTCTGGTTATTTAACATAGCCATGGAAAATGGACCATTTATAGATGATTTTCCCATTAAAACCTCCATTTATTTTGAGGATTTTCCATGGCTATGTGGCTATGTTAGTCATAACCAGATGGTCAATGGTTGAAGCCCTGTTACAGACAGCCCAAGTGGCATCCTTTGGCACTGAACTAGGGAAATCACCCAGGAACTGCGTGAGCAGATCACGAAGCTCGGGATGCTGACGGATGGAAATTACGGGCATCCTGACCAGGCGGAGATGGCGAACACTGGGAGAACCAACACTGGGAGTAACTGCATGGCAAAGGGTCAGTGGAGTCCTGCACACCGGTTGTAACGCATTGTAACTTTTAAGTGCATCCTGCACTATTAAGGTTCACTTGAACTTGCAAACAATCAAGCACGAGTGATGCTCTGGTAAACTTGGGTGGAGTGGACGTTCGTTTGAGAGGGTACGTGGTGGAAGGAAATTGAATCAAAGAATCAAACAATCTGGAAGCCGGGTTTCGATATGCTTCCAATTTTCATCACCTGAGTGGTCCTCTGGGACACAAACTTAACATACCCTCTGGTAATTTAACATAGCTATTGAAAATGGTGATTTATAGTGGATTTTCCCATTGAAAATGGTGATTTTCCATAGCTACATTAAATTACCAGAGGGTACCAACTGACATGAATTTATTTTGTCAGTGCTCCTCTATCTTCCCAGATACTCGGTCCCTGACCAACCAGCTGGTTGAAGAATGGATGACATGCCCCAAGTAGATCCATTATTCTTACGGGAATGGCTTTCACTACCAATCCAGATATATGGATTTTATGGATTAATGGGGTAAACAAAATGGGACACCTTCAAAATTGTGGCATGGATTTTGGTGCTTCTCCATGGCAAATTTGAATTGGGGTTAGTCTTTTGCAAACCAAAACTCAATTTACATAATTTTTGTGCACATCTGGAAGTGTCAATTCTGTAGGGGTCTACCCAACAATATACACTAAACATCACTAAACCGCTAAAATTGGAGGTTTCTCCCCTTCATCACTTCGCCGCAAATTGGAGGCCGAAGCGGTTCGGATGATTGAGGAGGCGGCCGAAGCGATAGCAGCTGGGGGAGCCAAGTGACCAGCGCCATGTTTTTAACCAGATTTTGATAGGTGTTCTATCATAGCCCACCCCAACTAGTATGTTATTGTTGGATAATATTAGATGAAGTAGAAAAGTAAGTAGAATAATTAGTAGAATAATATCTATTAGTTATAGGTGTTACCTTCGGGTAGTCAAACATGGGGCCTGCAGGGAGCTGGAAAATCCCGATGATCGAACTAAAGGAGATTTTCCAGCAGAGTATGTTTGATTACCAGAGGGTATGTTTTACACCTTTGTTATATGGTTTTGTCTAGAATAGAAATTGGGCAACCCCCAATTCATGGTTATTTTAACGGTGACAATCAAGCCATCACATTTGAATATTGAACATCATTATTGTGGATAAATCATAACGAACTCACGCCGCGACGTCACTGGAATGATGGTTAGATTGGTTAGGCTTGGGGGTAAGTATCCCATTCATGCGGAGAAGTGATGATAAGTATAACTGGTTGGTGGTTTGGAACACGGTTTTTATTTTTCCATATTTTCCATATGTTGGGAATAATCATCCCAACTGACGAACTCATATTTTTCAGAGGGGTAGGTCAAGCACCAACCAGTATTTATGATTGTGTATTATGATATTCATAGCCCATATCATCCCATATTTCTGTTCATATTATGATTTATGACATTTATGGATGATGATATGAATATATAATAGATATGAACCAACCAGATAATTATTAACCATCATTAACCATCATCATTAACCATCATCATTAACCATCATTAACCATATAATAACCATATATTAACCATTATTAAGAGTATATTAACCCTGGGTTTTAACCATTATATTAGCCATTACTGATGACCATTATTAACAATATATATATATATATCTGTTATTAACCATTTTAACAGTATAATAACCATTATATAACCATATATTAACCATAATTAACCATATATTAACCATAATTAACCATATATTAACCATTATAACCCTGGGTTTGGAACATGGCAACCAGAAGACCAGAATGGATCGCCCCAAGGAACCCTCTGCGCTCACGGCCAGCAAGGGAGAAGGCGCGGCAGGGACGGCGGTGACCAGCGGCCCAGTGCACCGACGGCACGACCCTGCAGGGACCATGGGGGCTGAAAGATGCTGAAATCGGGAGCTTTGACCCTCTGGTAAACATTTACATAACTATCCAAAACCACCATTTTTAATGGGTAAATCAACTATAAATGGCCATTTTCCATAGCTATGTTAAATTACCAGTAGTACCGCACAAGGCGGTGGCGGAAGTTTCAAAAATAGGAAACCTATAGGAGAGACTGGTTGTTGTGAATCAGGGATGGCAGAGCGAAGCCACTGATGGACCGAAATGTGGTTGAGGTCTCCTCTCTTTCTCTCTCTTTCTCTGACTATCTACCCACCTACCTATCTATCTTCTACGTATCTATCTATCTATCGATCTATCTATCTATCTCTCTCTCTCTCTCTTTCATCTGTCTATCTGTCTAATCTGTCTAGCTGTCTATCTGTCTATCTATCTATCTATCTGTCTGTCTATCTGTCTAGCTGTCTACCTGTCTATCTGCCTATCTATCTATCTATCTATCAATCTGTCTATCTGTCTACCTGTCTATCTGTGGTGCAGTGTCATTCAGTGTAATGTAGTGTAGTGTAGTGTAATGGAGTGTAGTGAAGTGTAGTTGTCTAGTTGTAGTTGTAGTGTAGTGTAGTGTAATGTAGTGTAGTGTAGTGTAATTTAGTGTAGTGGAGTGGAATGGAGTGTAGTGGAGTGTAGTTGCGTTGTTGTAGTTGTAGTGTTGTGGAGTGTAGTGTAGTGTAGTGTAGTGGAGTGTAGTGTGATGTCGTCTATTGTAGTGAAGCGAAGCGAAGAGACATCTGAACCTCCAAAAGTGGTCCAAACCCCTAGTGTTTTTAACATTTTGACTTCGAAATGTGCTTCGCGCCACAACGGCGTGCACTTTTTCTACATCTGAACCTCCAAAAGTGCTCCGAACATGGTGTGTTTTGTACATTTTGACTTGGAAATGTGCTTCGCGCCACAACGGCGTGCACTTTTTCGACATCGCAACTTCCAAAAGTGGTCCGAGACCGCCAGTTTTTTAAATGTTTTTAACACTTTTGACTTCGAAATGTGCTTCGCGCCACGACGGCGTGCACTTTTTCGACATCTCAACTTCCAAAAGTGGTCCGACCATGGTGTGTTTTGTACATTTTGACTTGGAAATGTGCTTCGCGCCACAACGGCGTGCACTTTTTCGACATCTCAACTGCCAAAAGTGGTCCGGACCTGGTGTGTTTTGTACATTTTGACTTCCAAATGTGCTTCGCGCCACAATGGTGTGCACTTTTTCATCTCTCATCTGGCCAGCTGGCTCCGCACCCGCCGCTTTAGCGAGCCTACTTTTCGACCCTCCCGAGCCCCAAATCATTGGAAAAACACAGTGTTTCGCGACTTTCCTACCTTTTCGCGCATCTGCATCTTCTTTCTTCTTACTCTTTCTCTTCTGATCTTCTCGCTTCTAATCTTCCTCTTCTCTCTGCCTCTGCCCTGCTCTGCTTTTCATCTGTCCATATTGTCGGAAGTTTGACTTCAAAACTTCCTTCGACTAGAGGGTATTTTATTGATTTTGATTGGCTACATTGCAGGCTGGTGGTTTGGACAATGTCTAAGAAGTCTGGTTGTCACCCCAATCTTGGCATGAAAGGCACCCCGTCCGGCAGCTGCAGGTTTCACTGCCCTGAAGCCCGTTCAGGTACCACCTGAGAAGGGCACTGGGAACTTTTGGGCATAGTGGAATTCTGGGTCGACTGGTGACTTGTTGGTTTGCGTTGGTTCATGGGATCATTTGTTTCAGCGATTTTGATGGAGAAAGATATATGATAAATTAGAAAGATAGGATCCCAGTAAGGAAAACCTCGGGGTATCAGCCGTGAATGTTAAACCCTCTTAGAACTAGCAGTAACTAGTGGAACCGGAGATGGTTGACACCAAATTCCTGCTGAAATCACGTGTTGCAAGACTGCAAGACAAATTGAATGAATGCGGCTGCAAAGGGAAACCCCTAGATGTCACGTGTTTTTTTCGGCGGGGGGGGGCAGGGCCCTTCAATAGCCACAGAATCACCACTTGAAGTGCGCTGTTCATGAGGGTGGCAATGGTTGTGGTGATGGAAACGCTGAAAGTACCCACCAGAAGACTATAGAAGACTCAAGATCCTTGCTGAAGAGCAATAAAGACAGCGAGATGCACTTACTTTGCATTTGTCTTTACTTTGGTCATTGGTAAGATCTCTACACTAGTTGCCATTCATATCAATCTGCCAGATTCTGCCAACAAATATTGATTGGTTGTTTACCTTATATCATAGTTCAGTACCCTATGTTCACTGATATGTGTGCAGGTTCAACAATGTTCAACATATCTATTTCATTTTCCTCCAGCAATATCTCGACCGCCAGGTGACGCGAGCACTGGGGCTCAGAGACTTGAAGCTGCCGAGGAAAGTGGTGTCGTCTGAAGCACAGGCGACCGGGGCATGGCATGCCATGGCTATGAAGACGACATGGACGGGTTTTAGGTCAAGGGAAGCATAAGATATGGTACCAGTATGGGAACATGTGGCAAAATATATCATTTGATCATATAATATGAATTAGTATGATTAGTATGCTCATATTATATCATATTAAAAAATATTACATTAAGATTATGATTATAAATGGAAGCGCATGGATGTATGGGTGTTTCAAAGACAAGCACCATTGCTTTGCGAATCACCAGAAAAACTTGGATGATTTTGGGCCCCATCCCCCGAAAACCAACCATGATTTGGGGGTCGTAGCCAACATCATCCCATGGCAAGATATTGCAAGAGGTGCACCAAAAATACCAAAATTTGCCTTGGCTTTATCTCATCAATGGGAATTATATAGGCCTTATATATGGTAGGTACCTCTTTAGGTTCCTGAGATGGCCAGTGATCTCATCAATCAAAATTCTGATTGGCAACCGGACATGAACGCACTGTGACCAACAATATTGATATATCAATATATATGATATACCTTGAGAATTCATTTGCTATCATTGCCCATCTGGCAAACCTAAGATTTTTTGCCTAGCAGTTGAGGATGGTTAGCACCCAGAAAAATTGTGAAAATTGTTGTTTTTGGGGGATGGTTTGTGGCATTGTGTTTACCACAAAAAACCCGTCCCATTTCTTGATTCGCCAATGATTGTGGTGGAGTCTGTGGAACCACTTGCGCAAGTGGCTCAAAACATACGATTGTGTTGATACCAATATATGTCAACGGGCAGTATATATATAATATAATTATATATTGAATTTTTATATTGTTATATAGCTATATATGATTATATTTATATAATATATATGTAATTGCATGTAACTATATTTGTATAATTACACGTAGATAGATAGATAGATAGATAGATAGATAGATAGATAGATAGATAGATAGATAGATAGATAGATAGATAGATAGATAGATAGATAGATAGATAGATAGATAAGATAGATAACAAAAATAGATAAACAGATAGAAAGAGAACCAATTCACTGCCACCTTGGTCAGATTGACATCCTGCACCTCGAGTCGCTCGGCGCGTGCTGACCTCAGCATCTTCTGGCTAGGGGCAGCAACACGGGTGTTGAACCAACCATTTGTGCGGATATACCCTCTGGTAATTTAACATAGCTATTGAAAATGGCCATTTATAGTATATAGTGGATTTTCCCATTAAAAATGGTGATTTTCCATAGCTATGTTAAATTACCAGAGGGTAGTGGGATATGAAAATATACAATAATATTTACACATATATTGGATGTAATGGTATGTTTACAGTAACTGACACTATGGCAATGGTATTTGGCTGTGTCTGAAAATTGTGATACTCCCAATTTATGGCATTTTTCGGGAACATGAGATCAAGCAGTGGAATTTTATGGAATTTTGGGGTGCC